GCTGTGTGCTTGTAGTCCCAGCCACTTGGGAGGCTGAGACAGGAGAATTGCTTGACTCCGGGAGGTGGAGGTTGCAGTGAGCTGAGATTGTGCTATTGCACTCCAGCTGGTGACAGAGTGAGACACCATCTAAAAAAATAAATAAAATATAAAAATAGGCCTGAGGGCCAAAATAATAGTGTTTTTACTCAGCTGTGGAAATTCAGGATGTTTTCTATGACCAAAATTCTCCCAAAACCATTAAAATTGTTTGTTTATTTTAAAAACAACAGGGAATAAAATATTAAGTGAAGCAAGAAAGTTGGCAAAGGTCCAGAATCTGAAGGTATTACGACTAAGTAAAAGTATGAATTCTACTTAACAGTGTCTTCCAACCTCATAATTCACAAATTGGATTCTCTACCATTTATAGTAGTGATGTGGATTTTTTCCTCTTTGCATTCAGTAGGTATTAAATGTGAATCTGTACATGTCCTATGCCAAAAACTTAATGAATAAGTAGTATTTGTTAGCTCTATTAGCAAGCCATTGGTTATAGTATTTAGAGGCTGTATTTCCTAGGACTACTGTCATAAACTCATAAAAAGTGCGTGGCGTAAAACAACAGAAATTGATTCTGTCACAGTTCTGGAGGCCAGAAGTTAGAAATCAAGGTGTCAGCAGGTTCACATTCCCTGAGAAAGCTCCAGGGGAGAACCCATTTGTCGTTTCTTCTTTTTGCTTCTGGTGGCTTCAGGTGTTCCTTGGCTTTTGGTCCATTGTTCCAGTCTTTTCCTCTGTGGTCACATTCCCCATCTTTTTCTATGTGTATTCAAATTACTCTTATAAGGATGTTTTTAATTGGATTTAGGCTTACCCAGATAATCCTCCAGGGGAAGTTCCTCCTCTCAGAATCCGTAATCATTAATCACATGTGTTGCCATATAAGGTAATATTCTCCTTCACAATAAGGTAATATTCATAGGTTCCTGGGATTACAGTGTATATATCATTTGAGGGTCCTCCATTCAGCTCAGTATCAGAATCCTTGTTTGGAAATTATTTTGGTATTGATAACAGCATAAAGATAGTTACAGCTTCCAGCCAAAGAGTGTGCAAAAGAAGTGGAAGCATCCATTAAGGTATATATAAAGTGGAAGAGGTTGGGTTGGAAATCTTAACCAGTTGTGACTGCAGTGCTTGCTAAAGGTTTATCATGATGTACATTACATTTTGGATGTTACATTACATATTGGTGGGTGTCCATAGAACAATTTCTTTGGGATACTTGGCACATCATAAATGCTGCTTTTTTGACAAGACTTTCCATTATAACCAGGCAGTGTTTTAAAATTAGTTGAAACTTATGGACCATAAACATAAAAGTAGAATGCAATTTGGGTTTAATGCATCAGGTATAAACTTAGGTGCAAATTCTGTGTTTAAAATGACTTTTAGCGATCCATCTTAAAACGATTGGTGGAAGGGAGGGTACCTTGTTTTGGGTACTTAGCCTCATGAAAGCCAGGACTCTGTCCATATTTTAGAACAGCCTGAGAACGTAGGCCTTATCTGAACTCTCACTGCCTCAACTTCTGAGTTAGAGATGAAAGTATTCAGTTCTTTTTTGACCAGCTAGGCGAAAGATTTGACCAGCTAGGCGTTGGGAGCCCCTGGGTTGCAGGAACGATTCCACTCTTTACTTTGTTTTGTTCATACCTTGCGAGGTTCTGCTTTCAGGAAATATTTAGCACCCTCCAGATGTTTAGGGGGCACCTGAAATCTGGTGTAATACTGGAATTAAGCTTTATGAAGTTAGAGACCTTATTTTCTTCTTCTTCTTCTTTTTTTTTGGCCCAGCCTCTGTAACAAATTAATAATGAATGCATTCTAAGCATTTTCTCAGAAAGTTCATGTTATAGATGAAAAATGACAAGAAAATAGATCGAGGAGTCTTCACTGAAAGTTTGAGATCTACTTCTGGCCTAGTATGACAGTATCATTGTTGATTAACCGAATCAATTCACAGTTACTTAAAAAGTTTGTGAGAATACTACTTTTTTAAGCAAGAAGGGAAATTTTTACTTTTAAATATTTCTTATATGTGAGTGAATGTATCACTATCTTGGTATACTGTATTATGCTTAAGGGATGCATAATACATTTATTTTTAAATAGCTTTTTGTCAACTAGAAGTCCTGCTATAGATCATGGAAAATATTTAAAAAATTTTTAAATTTGCTTAATAAAAAAGATATAAGATTTATGTAATGATGTTTTTGTGTCTTTCATCTGTGGATGTACATAGAGGGAAATCATGTTTAGAAATGAAAATTTGATTTGTTTTAATTTCACATTTTTTGAATAAGTGTTTTCAGTACCCTTTAAAAATAAAAAATGGTGTTATTCCATGTTTTCTTTTATATTTTTCAAATGAATTTGATTCATTTTATCTTTGGTATAAATTTAGACTATTGCTATTTAGCTTGAAAGAATTACAGCATATTGTGCCAGTATAAATCTCTTATTGCTGTACAATAACATTTGAAATCCACGTATGTCATTAATTGGAAAATTAATACCTAATGATTTTGAATTTTTATAGGAATAAATTGAAAAAATAAGAGCAGGTAAGAAATGAATTATTTTATTTTTCAACGTGGGAATTATATATTAGGCATTCTAGTTTTATAAATTCGGCTTATTAAGTCATATGCTTATTAATACTAGGGCCATATTGTTTCAGTAAAATGAAGAGGAGCTTCACTTTTTTTTCTTTTTAGCTTTAAATTTCTATATTGCTCTTACGTGGAAGATACTGACCTACATATCCTCTATATATTCATTTGTTTAATAAATCATGCTTCAGTGTTAAGTGGTAGGCATCAGCTTGGGCATGTAGAGTATTCTCACTCCAAGGAGAACAGCTGACAGTATATGCTGGCTCTGATGGAAATTGAGCTTTTAAGCAAAGATTAAATTTGAGGAAACAGATCTATCCTCATGAACTTGTCAGCTTTCCAGTGTTTACTTTTTTCATGAGACTGGTAGTGATAACAAATGTGATCGTACAATGAAATTGACAACATTAGGAAGATCCGCATAGCACAATAAGCCAGTGTTTTCTATGTGACCAATGCATAATGTTATAAAGTTATATTTATAATGTTAAAGATTCATTCAAAGTCTGGTATAGATCAATGAATTTTCACATAATGGTACAGAAAGTTCACTGATAAAGTTTCAAATTCTACATTGCAACTGACCTTTTAGAAACTATCCCATGTTGAATTCTGGTATGGTATCAAAGAATGATATTCATAACTATCTGAATATTTTTCCTTTTTTCAGCTTTATATCTGTTTGAGCCAGATTTTTCCCTCCTAAATTCAACCAAAACAACATACCGCAACAGTTTGAAGGCAGGAACGGCTAAGAAAATTCAGCTGTCTTCTATTAAGCCAAATATTAAATAGATTTGTAAAAATGCAAAGCAGTGCTGGTCTTTGCAATTTTTTAAAGAAAATAGTGATTTTTTAAAAAAAATAAAAATCATTATTTGTAATGAATTTATCGTTATTTTCAAATGAACTAAAAAAATTCTGTTTTCAATTTTGAATACAGTAAACAGATAAAAGTCTACATGATCAAATTTGTTGGTGTTCTAAGTAATATTTAAGGATGTAAAGAGTTTCTAAGATAAGAAGTTTAAGAATTGCTGATTCAGAGAAATGATTTGATACCTGAAATACATGTTGGGGTGAGGTAAAAGATTTGGACTACATTTTGGTGAGAGACTGGACTTTACAGTAAGCGGTAAGGAGTCACAGAATATTTTGAGCAGAAAAGGGATATAATTAAAGTGGGACACACGTGATTAATCTGGAGGTGATAGACACATGAGGATGGAAGTGGGGAATGAGTGGAGTGCGGAAAAATAACATTAACAGAAGAGTAGATATAACGCATTAAGGGTTCAATTTAGACTGAGCTCAATCAGAGAGACTTGCTATGACCGTATTAACCTAACTATGAATAGGATAAGGAGGGAAACCGTCAGATGTTAGGTTTGAGTTTGGGTCACAGGAAGAAGCTGATTTGTAGGGAAAGTTGAACTCTCTTCAATGTTTTTGTAATTCTTTGCCTAAGCATTTGAGATTTAATCACCAGGTAGAAATAACCATTAGAGAACTGAATGAAGACCAGATAGCTTTCTATCTCTTGTAGCATCATGGAGCACCTCTGTTGCTTAAAATTAAGAGTTGTCCTTTAGTAGGTAAGCAAATGGTAATGTGGTTGCTAAAAATGTGCATTTTGATATTAGGCTAGGCGATAGCTTAAATTGTAATAAAGTGCACATTTATTGACTCTTACGTGCTTGGCCCTGTACCATATATTCTTAACAGTTACTATTTCGCGTATGTGTGAGTTTGTGTGTGGGGGGAAAGCCCTGTTAACCCATGTTCTTTTGTTTTCTTATGAACGGCACTGCAAAAGGATTATTTTTCTGTGAAGAGCAATAAAATGTTGCTTAAAAAAGTTGTAGTCAAGATTTATTAATGAAAATAGAGTTTTCCCTTTGGGAAAACAAAAGACACAATTAGGGGAAGAAAAAGATCTATTTCTTGCCCCTCTTATGATAAGTGTTTTTAATGGAAATTCATTGATACCGTGTGGATGATTTACCAAGGCTTTTTAAAACGGCTGAAAATATGCTCTAACAACCATCTGATAAAATGAAAAACTGCACAAAATGTGTACTCAGATGATTTTCTGAAGGAATAATGGTGCAAATGAATTATCAAAGTGTGAAATCACTAAAAACAAAACATGTTTGGGTTTTTATTGAATCTTAATTGTAGGCTTATGTATTTTCTTTGTAAGCTAAGTTAAAAGAAAATTGCATAACTAAATTTTTGAAGGCCAGTGTTGTAGGACATATATTGTACCATAATTTATTTTTTGCATAAAAGCTGCTGTTCATTTTTTTCAGCATTAACATGCGTGCTTTCCTCATGTAGGAGAATATATAAAAAACTGGAGGCCAAGATATTTCCTTTTGAAGACAGATGGCTCATTCATAGGATATAAAGAGAAACCTCAAGATGTGGATTTACCTTATCCCCTCAACAACTTTTCAGTGGCAAGTAAGTTAATTATAATTGTTGATTCACCTTGTATTTATTTTTATGATTTTATGTGTCAGATAACTTAGGATATATGAGAAACCTATGAAAAAGTTTGGGTTTATATTTAATGGAGAAATGTTCAGCTTTGATAGAATTTCAATTTCTAAGCATAGTGAATATTGATAATATGTGGTCTTATGCAATGCAATAGGGTTTAATATTTTTATTTAGAACTTGAATGTGATAAATACAGTTCCCCAAATATGTACCTCAGTATTTTCTTTATAAAATAAAAACAAGGACCTTTGAACTTGGTTGTTAGATTAAGCATGGTTATAAGGTGTTGTGGTACTTAATGCATTTTAAGCAGTTTCCTTTCACAATCTTAGCTCTTTTGGTTATATGATGAGAAACCGGTGATTTACATTAGAAATCATCTTCTGGGGAGATTTTTTGTTTGTAAATTTTTCTTCCTTACAAATATCTAACAAAAATGTTTAAAACTTAGAAATTTTTTATTTGCTTGAACATAGCATGAAATAAAGTGAAAGAAGACGATGATAATGACAATGATGATTATTGTTACTGCCAGGCACTTCTGACTTCTTAAATTTACTGATTAATCAATGAGAGAATCGAATCTTTCTGTGTTAATTTAGAAGCAAAGTTTTTTTAAGTTATATTAAACATATCTAAGATCTAGCTAGTCTGTATTATTAAGCTTAAATATTTAATGAGACAACATCCTTAATTTTGATTTTGGTCATATGTTATCTGTAAGCCACATTTGGGAAAAAAGATATAAGGGAAATTTGAAGCTCAAAATGCAACAATAAAAATTCAAGAAAATAAAAGTCTTTGAATGATAAAATTTCATTTTACCATTATAAAAGCTCCGATCTTTTTATACTCCTATTATTTTGTTCAGGTTAGCCCTTGTTAGTGGATTAGAATGACTATTGTATTTTTTTTAAGTAAAAGCTAAAACTATAAACCAAAGCATTAAAAGATTTGTGAAGTCATTTGATAAGGATACTAACTTTAAAAAAAGCTTTCTCTGTTTATATCAGTGGATTCTTATATAGATATTTTAAAAATGAGATCACTATAAAGTATGTGTATTAGTTAAGGAAAACATCTTTTTTTTCCCACCAAAATGCTCATTAGATAATAATAGCTTTCTTTCAGTAGAAAAGTATTTTTTAAATCCTATTGTCTACTGAAATAATATCTTGTATTTTGTGTTGACTTAACACATTTTCATTTTAAAGACTTTTTGGGTGAACATTTACTTTAAAGTGATAGAGATTAGCTTTTAGACATAAGCAGCATATATTATCTAAATGCCCTACCTAAAGCCAGTGTAGCGTTTTAGTTTATCCATTTGACTAGCAAATGTTATTGGTTTTTCAGAAATAATTTATGAAAGTACAGAATTCCTGTATCTGCTGATCAAAATGCAGCATTTTTTGACCTTATGAAATTTCACACCCCAACGAGTTTTAAAGACATACTGTATGTCACAGTCTGCCAACATCTGCTCCAACACTTCCACTGGCAGAGGCTGAAATAAATGCTGCACTCTTGAGGAAGGATCCTATTTAGTGACTGACAGTCAGCTTATTTATCTATGAAATGAATATTATTTGACATCTGTATTCATGTATAATCAAGTAGCTGTAGATAGTTGACTCAAACTAACAAGTAAAGTTGTAGATCAGCTCCTTAGTTTTCAAAAGTATTATTAACACGAATCTTACACGAAATACATTTTTAAAAATTTATTACTAAAGCTTGACTTACTGCAATCTTAAATTTTGTAAATAAGAATTACATGAGGAAATAACGAGTCTAGTGAAATGGGTACTAGTTGAAGAAGTTGTTCAAATTCCAACTTGGCCACAGGCTGCCAATAACATGACCTTGGGCAGGTTATTCTCTGAAACTCTGATCTTCATTTAGTTTCTTCATCAGCACGTTAAAAATATTTGGATTCAGTGGATTTGTAAGGTCCTTTTCGTCCCTGACATTCTGTGATTCTGTGAGGTGGACTTTGAGCAGGCCCTTGAAGAGTGAGTAGTAGTTAAGTAGATTAGAGGAGAAGGATATTCCAGGCAGAGAGCAGTGAAGAATGTCTTTATGAGGAATTAAGGAAGGAACAGTTGGTGAAAGAGAGGGTTACTTCGCTATGCTTTTCGCTTTGCCCTAGTCCCCTTTATTTAATACGTTTTTAAAAGATAATTTTAGAAGGTATTTCTAAAGTATGTTGGGAAATGTATATATGTATATCCCTTTGGTCGCTACCATTTGAGTCCATTATTTTTCTGATATTTAAAGATATTACTTCATATTTAATCAATGTTGGTTTTAATGATATTTTACCAGAATAGGCTTTTTATTTATATGGAACAAAAACAGAGTATAAAAACTGTGAGAACTGTAAGGGGCTCGAGAATTTCCAGTCTTCATTCAATTTTGAATTGCTTCCCTTCTGATTTAAATCTTTCAAAAAGATAGTCTTATACTCATTGTTTTCACTTCTTATCCCACTGCAGTGTGTATTCCTCCCTTATTCATTTGACTGAGACAACTTACAGTAAATTCTTGAGTAACCAAGAAAAAAAACAGAAGAGAATAGAGAATGAGTCCTAAGAAGCCTCTCTATAATTCTGCTTTTTCTATGCTGCAAATATTGGCCCACCCTGACCAATATTCTTTTCTTCTCTGAAACCTTTTTATAGTCCCTTCTTAAAAAATAGGTCATTCTACATTTCTAAGCCCAATTTTAAAAGATGATGTGAAATATTTACTTTTTTTTTTTCTTAATTTTTTTATTTTTTAAGACAAGCTCTCTGTCACCCAGGCTGGAGTGCAGTGGCATGATTATGGCTCACTGCAGCTTCAGCCTCCCAAGTATAAGCCATCCTCCTATCTTAACCTCCTGAATTGAGGGGACTACATTTGCATGCCACCTCACCTGGCTAGTTTTTTTGTACAGGCAGGGTTTCACCATTTTGTTCAGGCTGATCTCAAACTCCTGGGCTCATCGAGTGATCCTCTCCTTGGCATCCCAAAGTGTCAGGATTACAGGCGTGAGGTACCGCGCATGGCCCAAATACTTACTCTCTGACTTTTCTCTCTCTCTCTTTGAAAGTAAGGAAATTTTGGAACCTAAACCTACCAACGAACATCTTTATCTCATCCGAGCTACTCATATGGCTAAGGTGGGAGGATCATTTGAGGGCTAGACTCTGAGACCAGCCTGGGCAACATAGAGAGACCCTGTCTCTTTTAAAAAAAAAATCTTTGCACAAATATTATATACAGAGATTTTAAATATGTAGAAAAATCAATTTATTCTTATTAATACTTCTAGTGGTAGACATACATGGGGATAGAGAAAAAGCTTATGACTTGATTCTTAGTTGTATATAACAGATAATACAACCTAGAATCATAATCATGTAATTCTAGAAAAACTATAGACTATATAAAGATTTACTATATAAACGTATATGAATGACAGATCAGAATAATTCACTTTTGAAGTATTGATTAATCATTATAAACTTATACCTGATAGTGAAAGGAGTATATAATACAATTTTTATATGTAAGAATTTGTCATTGGCTATGGAAGACATTCACATAGAACATACAGCAGTGGGAGGAAAAATGGGATGAATTGCCAAAATGAATTCTGTAGAAGGTAGCTCCTGTGGAAGCTGAGAGAAGTAATAGGTAAGTGTTAGCAAGGGTGACTAAGAATTCACTCTTGAGATGAGGTTAACATGAGCCCTGACGAAAAGGGTTTGATTAAGATTTTGGAAGACAGAGGACATTCTCAGTGAGATTAACGACATAAGCAAACAAATGAAGGCAAGTATTAAGGAGTAGCTTGTTTTGTTAATGATATAGCCAATATCCTAGAGGGATGGAAAATTTTTATTGGAGGAAAAAAAGCTCAGAGAGTTAGTAATCAGATTATGGAAAGCCATGAATATCAGTATGATGAAGTTTTTGAACATCCAAGTTTCCAAATCATTATTCATTTTTTTTTTAAAGGACCTCTTTATAGTGTGCAGTGGAGGGGTTACATCCTTAGACAAACAGGCCATGAGTCAGTCACTAAGCTGTTGTTTAGTCCTCATCCTTTTCAGTCTCACTGCTACCACCCTAGCTCATGTCTTCATCGGTTCCTTTCTGTATTATGTTAAGTCTCCTAATCAGTCTGTTAACCTTCAAATACTATCTTTTCTGGAATATTTGGAAGCAATTTATATAGGATAGATTCATCTTCAAAAAAAGTTTCTTTGCAAATACTATATCCTTCTTAGAGAAATGTCAGATGTTCTTCATTTTTCACAAGAAGCTGCTGAATTGTTTTTCAATGTATATCCACAATTAAACTCTTGCCAAAGTAATAGCTATGTTTATACCCTGTATCTTTTCATTCTGTTATCCTTAATGTTCTATACATTTTCTTTTTGACATACATTTGCTATATTCTGGTCAGGTTTAATTACATACAAGATTTCTAACCCTGTGTTTGTTTTTAATGATTTTTAGATCATTTAATTATTTGATCACTTGAAGACTTGGTGTTTTCTTTTTTTTCTTGATTTACTTTCTTTAAACTTTTAAATTGATACATATTAGCTGTACATAATTTTGGGTACATGTGATTATTTGGTACATTCATATAATGAAAATCAAGGTAATTGATAAATCTATCACCTTAGATATTTGTCTTTCTTTATGCTATCATATTTTCAGACAAATGGAAAGTTACATCTGTTAATAGGTGTATCCCACTCTAAGGAATAGGAATAGCTGCCTTATTTTAAAAAGTAAATTACCATAAATTTAAACAAATTTTGCTTTTTGCCTCCATTTTCATAGGTGATGTTATGTTCATATATTTGCAGAATTTAACTTTAAACCAAGTTTAGAATTGGGAATGGAGAAAAACTTTTGTAAAAACTATTTTAAAAGGAAATCATTTTAAAGAAAATTATAATGTAATAGTGGCACATATTTTCTCCCTCACACTGCAAATCATACTCCAATTTGAAAGGAACAAAAATCCCACAAAATGTCCACTCTTTCATCCTTTTTTCTTTATTTTGCACAATGAAAGTGAAAAAGCAGAAAAAGTGTAAATTCATCTTAATGGAAGTGTCTGTGGCAGTCAGGAGTTTCAAATCTAGCTCCTATGGGTGAAAACAACCCTCTCCATCTCTGAAAGATTTCATCACTGTTATGTCTTTTATAACCATAACTTTTTGTGTGTATCATCTGAGTTTCTTACTAAATATTATCTCCTTTCATTATAACTACAGGTGACCTGCTCAGATTTCTGTTTTAGAGCCTTCCTCCTCTTCTCTAGTAGCTTCCATGGTCTCCCACCCCTTTCCCGATTTGTATTCCCAAGCCAGTCTTTTTAGTTACAGTCTTTACTTTCTGATCCTTTTTCATCAGAATATCAGCAATTTGGGGGCTTATTTAGAATCAAAGGGAATGGTAAACTTGCAGAAGACAATGACCGTGCATACTCATTTTAAAAATGCCCCATAACATTATACTGGAACATTGGACTTGGAGTCAGAAGACCTGTCTTTGGGACTTGGTTCTGCTACTTTACTAGCTGTGTGACCTTGGGCAAATCACATAACTTCTCTGATTCTCATTTTGCTCATCTTTAAACAATGGAGCTAATAATACCTTCTTCACAAGCTTACAGTGAGGATCAAGTGAGATCATATAGTCAGGTGGTGTGGCTTACCCTTTGGGAGGCTGAAACAGGTGGATCACTTGAGTTTCAGGAGTTTGAGACTAGCCTGGCCAACGTAATGAATGCCCATCTCTAGTAAAAATACAAAAATTAGCCAGGCTTGGTGGTTCATGCCTACAGACCCAGCTATTAGGCTGAAGCAGGAAAATTCTGTGCCACTGTACTCCAGCTTGGGCAACAGAGCAAGACTTTGTCTCAAGAAAAAAAAAAAAAAAAAGAGAGATAATATATTTGAAAACTATTTGTACATTGTAAAATGTTATCCAAATAATATTAACATAAGATAGAAGGTACTCAGTAATATTTGCTGAATTAACTGGCAATCATACTTCTTTCACTAAATTCCATTGGAGTGAGGAGGAAACCACTTTACTGAGTTTTCTTTAAAGAGTCTTATGAGAAATTGCTTACAACAATCTCTTGTAGTTGAGGCCAAATGCTATTGTTTGGTTGGAGAAAAATTTCCAGTTTCATTTGATGCCTAGGACTTTGATTAGTTGGGGCTATTTTTTCTTACGACTAAACAAAGTGAGGAAGATTTCCCAAACCCTGCTCATGGCCTCCTTCTGGCCAAAAAAGAAGACATCACTATGGCTAAAGAAGTAACACCTAATTCTGTGAAGAAAGTCAATGGTAGCTTGAGGGGGATAGAATTGAATCTGTAAGTTACTTTGGGCAGTATGGCCATTTTCACTATTGATTCTTTCTATCCATGTGCATGGAATGTTTTTCCATTTATTTGTATCCTCTCTGATTTCCTTGAGCAGTGGTTTGTAGTTCTCCTTGAAGAGGTTCTTTACGTCCCTTGTAAGTTGTATTCCCAGTTATTTTATTCTCTTTGCAGCAATTGTGAATGGGAGTTCACTCATGATTTGGCTCTCTATTCTTGGTGTATAGGAATGCGTGTGATTTTTGCACATTGATTTTATATCCTGAGACTTTGCTGAAGTTGCTTATCAGCTTAAGGAGATTTTGAGCTGAGACCATGGGGTTTTCTAAATATACAATCATGTCATCTGCAAACAGACAATTTGACTTCCTCTCTTCCTATTGGAATACGCTTTATTTCTTTCTCTTGCCTGATTGCCCTGGCTAGAACTTCCAGTACTATGTTGAACAGGAGTGTTGAGAGAGGGCATCCTTGTCTTGTGCAGGTTTTCAATGGGAATGCCAGAAAAGAGCCCATATAGCCCAGACAATTCAAAGCAAAAACAACAAAGCTGGAGGCATCACACTACCTGACCTCAACCTATATTACAAGGCTACAGTAACCAAAATAGCATGGTACTGGTACCAAAACAGATATATTGACCAATGGAACAGAACAGAGGCTTCAGAAATAACACCACACATCTACAAGCATCTGATCTTTGACAAACCTGACAAAAACAAGTAAAGGGGAAAGGATTCCTTATGTAACAAATGGTGTTGGGAAAACTGGCTAGCCATATGCAGAAAACTGAACCTGGACCCTCTTTCTTACATCTTATGCAAAAGTTAACTCAAGATGGATTAAAGACTTAAATGCAAGACCTAAAACCATAAAAACCCCAGAAGAAAACCTAGGCAATACCATTCAGGACATAGGCATAGGCAAAGACTTCATGACTAAAACACCAAATACAATGACAACAAAAGCCGAAATTGACAAATGGGATTTAATTAAACTAAAGAGCTTCTGCACAGCAAAATAAAATATCATCAGAGTGAACAGGCAACCTACAGAATGGGAGAAAATTTTTGCAATCTATTCATCTGGCAAAAGGCTAATCAGAATCTACAAGGAACTTAAATTTACAAGAAAAAAACCATCAAAAAGTGGGCGAGGGGTATGAACAGACAATTCTCAAATGAAGATGTTTATATGGCCATCAAACGTGAAAAAAGGCCCATCATCACTGGTCATTAGAGAACTGCACGTCAAAACCACAGTGAGACATTATCTCACGCCAGTTAGAATGGTGATCATTAACAAGTTGGGAAACAACAGATGGTAAAGTGGATGTGGAGAAATAGGAATGCTTTTACACTGTTGGTGGGAGTGTAAATTAGTTCATCCATTGTGGAAGACAGTGTTGTGATTCCTCAAGGATCTAGAACCAGAAATACCATTTGACCCAGCAATCCCATTACTGAGTATATACCCAAAGGATTATAAATCATTCTACTACAAGGACACATGCACATGTATGCTTATTGCAGCACTATTCCCAATAGCAAAGAGGTGGCATCAGCCCAAATGCCCATCAGTGATAGAATGTATAAAGAAAGTGTGGCACATGTACACCATGGAATACTATGCACCATAAAAAAGGATACATTCGTGTCCTTTGCAGGGATGTGGATGAAGCTGGAAACCATCATTTTTAGCAAACTAACACAGGAACAGAAAACCAAACATTACATGTTCTCATAAGTGGGAATTGAACAATGAGAACACATGGACACAGGGAGGGGAACATCACACACCAGGACCTGTCAGGGGGTGGGGGCTTAAGTGAGGGATAGTGTTAGGAGAAATACCTAATGCGGTTGATGGGTACAGCAAACCACCATGGCACATGTATACCTGTGTAACAAACCTGCATGTTCTGCACATGTATCTTAGAACTTAAAGTATAATAAAGTAAAAAACGTTTATACAGTAAAAAAGAATATTCAATAAACATATTGATTGCTTAAAAAAAAAAATAAAACCTTTGGATGAGACTCAGGGTTTGTGGTGAGGGCAAGAGGAACGGGATGTGGACCAAATTCTTTAAACCCTAGCCTTTGGAAGACAAACCTTCTGCAGGCTGAGGAATTCACACTAATGTGACTATTGTTGTCCCTTTTTTTGTCAGAAGTTGTGTGTGTGTGTGTTTTTTTAAGTAATAAAATCTTGAGTATTTTTCTGACTGGTTGAAGGGGATCCCATCCATTGGAGGAAAAATTAAAATTAATTTGCTTCCTAGATTACTCCCTTTTTGAAAGGTGGAGGATGCAGTGGGGATTATTTTTAAAGGAAGTCAGGCAAGTAGTGATCAGCTTCAATAGTTTATATAGAGGACATAGAAGAGATTCCAGCCTGACCACCTTCCTTTATTCCTTTCTTTTCCCCTCCTTCCTTTCTTCTGTATCTGCCTTCCCCCTCGCCCCCACTTAACTTTTTCTAAGGTTAGCAATCAACTATTAGTTGTTGATGGGTGCTTAAGTAATTAGTATCATCCAATTATTTTTAAATACCTGACTCCTTCCTTGATTTTCTTTTCTAGTCTTCTCAAATAACAACCATTTGCACCTGCTGTGTTTTGAAGTTTACTACCTTGTGTGTATGCATGTGTGACTTAAAGTAACACAATTTGGAAACATGGGAGTCATCAAAATATTTAAATATATTTTTTCGGAAGTCTAAATTCTAATATTTAGAAAGTTTTTATTGAGGGCTTTTATGTTCTGAACATTGTACCAGGTACTGAGGGGAAAAAAGAAGGAAATAAGGAAGGAAACCAACCTTTCTTTGAGAGTTACTATGTACCAAGCCCTTTCACATATGTTATCTCATTTTATCTTCACAACAGCACTGTGAGGTAAGTATTATGTTCCCCATTTTAAAGAAACTCAGAGAGGTTATATGACTTGCTTAGGCCACTATCTGGCAAATGGCAGCGCCCGCAGCATGAACCCATGTCTACCACAGTGAACCTATAATTTTCTGTTCATTTTCTTATTCCATAGATACATGATCTAGCCCTTGGCTTCGAAGAATTTATAGTCTAGTAGCAAAAATATGCCACAAAGCCTTGGAATTGGTATTTTGAGATGTTTTATGGCTAAGTTCTGAAGTAAGTTTTGCAGTTAATATATGCATTTAAAATTTAGGAAAAGGAGGTATCATTAAAGACTGAATTGTAAAGAAAAGCTTCTCTAGAAATTGAGATTGTTTGGAGAAATAGTAAAATTTTGAAAGATAAAGTTACTTTGCAGGTAACAAGAATAGCATTGATGTGGAAAATTATTTCTGAGAAACTTTGAATTTCTTTTTATCTTATTGAAATAAGTGAGTATAAAATCCTCAGAAATGAATGAAAGCTCCAGATGGTATATTATTTCCTTATCCCTGTATAGAGCGAAAAATATCAAATGAGGAAGAATAATGAATGATAGGAATAAATATAGTACTTGAGTACTTAGCAGAATGCCCTAATTATTTTGGACACTGTTTTCTCAGGACTACAGTTAGGCACTAGCTACCCTGTTTGTAGCTTACCTCGTGTTTTATTTGCAGTTTCTGTAGTAACATTGCGTCTTCTCTCCCAGTTGAATTCATCTCTCCTAGTAGAATATAAAATCATTTTATTGACACAAATAAACACTCCATTTTAAAATCCTACCTACAGGTTTTTAAAAAAATTAAGCTAAAAAGGTTTTATACTATAGCTTGGAAAGGGGTATATTATCTCTTTACATATTTAATTTCTAAAAATTTGCCTTTTATGTAGAGAAGTTGGGGTATTATGGATGGGAAGTGGAGGGTAGGGGTAGGAGGATCAGCACCTGCAGCCTGTGTATGGTAAGGCAACTGTAGTATATTTACTGTATATATTTTTGCAATTAATTATTGATAGCTCTGTATATCTCAGTTTTTCAGATAAAAATTTACTGAGTGTAGTGCCACCAACACCAGCTAGCCTTTGAAACTGAGCTAAGGATCCATGTACAGTTTGATCTTATTACCGATTTCAGCATTTTCCTCCATAACACCCTTCTATATCTGAAGGGTAAAAATAATTCTTTTCGCGTATCTTTCTGACAACATTAATTTATGACCTTAGTAAATTTATAGATTATTTTGGTTAAGTTGAATGTAGATACCTACCTGATTTATTTGTTGAATTTTTTTTTTTAGTGTGTCATTTTTAACTTAAATACTTAGTTTCTAGAGAAAGGATTGTGTGTAATTAGTTTTTGACACTGTAATTAGAAAGTTGATTGTATACCCATTATATTTGGTGCTTTAATCCCATTTTATGATTAATCAGAAATTAGGACAATTACGGTTTAAGGAAGTTAGGGAAAAAATTAATATTTTTAAAGAGCCTGCTTTTTACAAGGTGCTTTATTTGTGTAATTGCATTTTGTTATCACATGAACAACATGAAATAAATATTATTAAAGAAAAAAATCTAGATGATGGATCTGAGACCTAGAGAGATTGGAAAACTTTCCCAGAGCCTCAAAGCAAGTACATGGTGGAACTGTGATTGGAACTCTGATCTAACATCTGGCGTGAATGCATTTAATCATATATGGGGTTCAGAGATTACAACTCTGTTCAAGTAATATGTAGTCATTACCCACAGAAATTTAGTGCTATGCCAGGTATCACCCATTGGGTTAACAGTGGAGTCTTATTGTTGTCAAGAATTGAATTTATATAACAGTGATACTTTTTTTCTGCTAGAGCAAAGGAACAAATATAGATGTGGTAGATGGGTGGCTGATAGAGTCTTACTATGTAATGTTGAGCCAGTTGCTTAACTATCCTGGGACTCAGAATTTTGTCATCTGTAGAGAGAGAGAGTCAAAGTGAAGTCTGGCTCTCTCAAGTCCTTTGTTCTAATTCAGTGGTTTGCCTGTCAGCAGCAGATAATTTCTTGAAATATTGAGTGTGTTGATGAGTAGTATAGTAATAGATTACCACTTGTTGAGTACCTTGTGCTACATTCTTCATATACATATACATATACTCATACATACACACACACATACGTGTGTGTTAGTAAGATATATTTAATGTTACCACCAATCATCCTTGAAGGACAAACAATTTATTTTATAGCTGTAGAAAGTAGGCTCATGGAATTTCCCAATGGCAAGGAATTCTTTCAGAGTTGGAGCTGGGAGATAAACCCACAGCTTTTGAGTTTCCAGACCAGTGCTTTTTCATATTCCTACTTAACTAAAGGATCTCTGACTACCTTACATTAGGGCCTTGAGGTGAGAGGTTTTCTAGTGTGGGCAATTCGGAAGATAACGGGGTTTCCATGCCTCTAGACTAGTCTGTCTGTCAGTATCATGGATCAGATCTTGTTATTCTTGACTAGTACATGAAGACAAGATGTATTTGAGAGCTTTTGGATAATTCCATTTAGAGAAGTGGCAGCTTACTGTAGATGATTCACTGGTATATGAAGATTTCAGTATTACTTACCAATTATGTCATAGAAGTCACAGGAGAGAGACTGATTTTTTTAGAGGCAGAATCATTGCATATTTAACACACTGAACTTGAGGGACATGTTTTATTGCTTTCTCTGAGTTGATACATGCTAAATTACTGGCCTTCTGATTTTTTCACCTCTATATTTTTATTTTTATTTAAAAGCATTTATTACACTTTGAGTAAAGTTAAATGAGACCTAAGGCCACATTAGGAAGAAGGACCTTTAAGCCTTGGAATTTAGGAAGGATACAGAGGCTTTCTTTTGGGTTGGAAATAATACATAATCAAGCAGATGCTAATGGAAAAATGAAATGCAGGGGAAGAGAAAAGAGACTAGGGTGCCTGTTTGGAAGTTTTATAGAGGAGAGTACATTGCCCCTTTATTACAATAATGTTTCTGAACTATAATAAGGTCTTTCATTGCAAGTTCAGCTTTTTTCATTCATTTGTTTTGTGCTCTGCTTCCTCTGTTACTAATTGTCAGCACAATAGTCTTCCAACTATGAAGTCTCAGTGTCCTTTTGGACCAATTTGTCATTGTCTTTCTCCCTCTCCCCCCAACCCATGCACTCAGAATCTATTACTATGGTTGCATTTTTAGACATTTTTAATGTTTTAAAATGGCACTGCTTTTGAAACCTGCCAGAATAGTTCATGATAACTGAATCATCCAACCAGCAACAGTTACTGCTTCCAAAAGCACACTGATAAAGTTTTTGTCTCTACAGGGTATTCTTGTAAGATAATTAAAAATAAACATCGAATACTCTTTACAGCGTTATTTCACGTGCATTGTTTCCTTTGAACCTAACATTAGTCCTGTGGAATATTTTGTTAAAATATTTGTGTTAAATTATTTACAGATTTACTGTTTGCCTCATAAATTGCTGATATTTCTGTGTTATATCTGTATTCTTTAGGAAGTTATATCTCTATTCTTTACCTATATATGGCTTTTTAAAAAATAGATTATTTTATTATGACTAATTAATCAGCAAAGTTGGCTTAGACTGACAAGCCTGAACAAGTTCTGACATTAGGCTCCAGGCAACTTTAGTTACATGTTAATTCATATTAGGGTTTTAACATTTTGGCCAATGAATACTTAAATGTACTCTCAGCCTTGTTCCAATAATCTGATATTGACAGAAAGAGATAATTCAAATATAACTTCTATAAGGAAGTTCTGAAGCAGTTTAATAATACTTGACAGCTTATCTCTCACGTAAAAGAACTTTGTCTTATTATATGATCAGAGTTTGTTGGTGCTTTTCAATATAATGTCAATGTAAATGGCAATTACTTTTAATGCATGACTACTAACTAAAACTTGGGTCAGTTTTCTCTGGGGAAAAAATATTTCAATTCTCTGTCATTTGTTTATATCAATTTATTTGCATAAAACTAGAAAGTGAAATATGGTTGACCCTCGAGCGATGCAGAGGTTAGAGACTTCAGTCCTTGTGCAATCAGACATCCATGTTACAACTTTTGATTTCCCCAAACTTAGCTACTAACATTCTACAGTTTCCCAGAAGCTTTACCAATTATCTAAAGTTAATTGACACATATTTTGTGTATTATGTGTACTATATACTGTATAATGTAAACTAGAGAAAATATTAAGAAAATCATAAGGAAGAGAAAACATTTGCCATTCATAAGTGGAAGTGGATCATCATAAGGATCTTCATCCTCATTGTCTTCATGTGGAGTAGGTTGAAGAGGAGGAGGAAGAGAAGGGCTTAGTTTTGTTATCTTGGGTGGCAGAGATGAAGAGGTGTGGAGCAGGTGGAAGGAGAAAGGCAGGAGAGACAGGCACACTTGGTATAACTATTGAAAAAATTCCATGTATAAGTGGACCTGGGCAGTTCAAATCTGTGTTTTCCAAGAGTCAACTGTTTTATAAAGGTTATTAGAAAAAAAACTTTATTTCCTTTCTTGAGCAGCCAACATCCTAAAAACTGTGTGTGATGTAAAAAGAGACATGAATTTAGAGCTAAAAAACCTTTATTTGAGACTCAGTTTTACCGTATTAATGGCTTGATGATTTTGAATAAGTGATTTCAACATTAAGTAGCTTCCTTTTTAAAGATTCGTGAACTGGAAATAAACATACTTTAGAACTTGACTGAGAGGATTAAGTAAGAAATAATGTATATAATGTTGTAGAGAAGCAACTGATAATATGCTAAAGTAATTAGTAGTCATTTAAAAAATAAATTTTGGAGAAGGATATAATGGAAAGCAAAATTTTCTTACTTACATTGGCGAAGATTTAAGATGAGATTTTTTTCCCCCATTCTTCTAGAGATCAGTGAATGAGCTGATTGTTTTACTTTACTTCACTTAGCTTGCTATCTGTCAATTAAAATGGATTATAAAATGAAGTGTTTTTGTTGCTGCTGCTGTTTTTGCTGTAGTAAAGACCCAAGAGACCTCATTATGTCCGTGGTTGCAGCCATCTTTCAACGCCAGGCTACCTTATTTGGAGTTAGAATTCCTGAATGCAAAGAAAGCACATCTTAGACCTTAAAGTTTAAAGAAGTTAGAGACTACTTTCCAAAAGGTCTTTTTTTTTTTTTTTTTGACACAGAGTCTTGCTCTGTTGCCCAGGCTGGTGTGCAATGGCATGATCTCAACTCACTGCATCCTCTGAGTTAAAGCAATTATCCTGCCTCAGTCTCCCAAGTAGCTGGGATTACAGGCACCTACCATCATGCCTGGCCAAGTTTGTTTTGTTTTGTTTTGTTTTTAATAGAGATGGGGTTTCTCCATGTTGGCTAGGCTGGTCTCGAACTCCTGACCTCATGTGATCTGCCTGCCTTGGCCTCCCAAATTTCCGGGATTACAGGTTCGAACCACTGTGCCCAACTTTTATATTTGATGCTTTTTTGTTTGTTTGTTTTTGAGATGGTGCATCCCTCTTGTTTCCCAGGCTAGAAAGCAGCGGCATGGTCTCAGCTTACTGCAACCTCTGCCTCCTCAGTTCAAGTGATTCTTCTGCCTCAGCCTCCAGAGTAGCTGGGATTAGAGGCATGTGCCACCAGATCCGGATAATTTTGTATTTTTTAGTAGCCACAGGGTTTTTCCATGTTTGTCGGGCTGGTCTCCAACTCCTGACCTCAGGTGATCCTCCTGCCTTGGCCTCCCAGAGTGCTGGGATTACAGGTGTGAGCCACTGCACCTGGCATATATTTGCTTTTAATGGAATTATTGGATTTGTTTATAATCCTTCACAATTCATTGTTTATTTGGACAGTGCTTTACTCTGGATGAGTAGGCCTACCTTTAAATTTTTCTCCAAGGGGGTAAAAAATCCTTTATTATTTACATCTAATCCTTTCTATTTTTCCTATGGAAAGAAACATATCTCAAGTATTAGAGCTGTTGCTCCAAAATCAAGAATGTGATTAGGGTGCAAAAAAAATGTGTATCTATATATATTTTAATTTATGTTATTAAGAGTTATTTAAACATATATATGTGCTTAAAACATGCATTCTTTTAAAATATTATTGATCTTAGAGGTGGTCTAAACCAGGTGATTTAGTTCATCTTTATTATTAAAAAGTTTATTTAAAAATAAATATAGCTTCCACATTCTGGCCTCACGCAGTCCTCCTTCCCTGGCCTCCCAAAGTGCTGGGATTGCAGGTGCGAGCCTGTGCGTCTGACCGGGCAATTTAGGTTTTGAAGAAATAATTATCTCAGGTTTTGGGTGGAAAGAAATCATAACATTTTTTTCCCTAAATAAAAGAGTGTGACCTTTAAAATATTCAGGATATTTTATGAGAAAAAATAAGTTACGAGAAATTTTATTGTTTCTGAAATGTTTCTTGAAGCTTTTCTTAAAATTCAGTTTTTATGTGCTTAGATTTTGATGAATATAAAAGAACTATGAGAAGTGTTCCAAATTCCCTGAAGCTTATAGTTAAGGGGTTTCACTCAAAACAGTCAAGTAAATCACAGCATATGATAAAGTACCAGCATACGGGATATAAATAAAAAGTGGAGATCTTCAGGGATAGGGAGTATGAATTGGAATACGATCTTGAATGACTAGAATCGAAGTAAAAAGGAAGGGAGTGTGTTTCAGGTGACAGAAACAGCATGAGCTGTTAAATCATGAAGTTAATCAGAATTTTTAGGGGACAGTGAAGAGAGATGTTTATTAGCAGAACGTACTCACAGTTTGGCAGTGAGGAATACAGTTTCGAACTTTTTGTTTTAGTTAATGAGGCTTCCTTAGGACTAGCTTTGAAAGTCAGGCTAAGAAATGTATTTGAACATTGTCCTTCAGACAGGAAAATATTTTTGAAGAGAATGATATATAGATTATGAATTTGGGTAGGACTCATCTAACTAGTAGTATATAGATCAACTTAGGGAGAAGGGTAGAAAAGGGAGACCACCTGGGAGGTCTTTTCAGTGATAGAGATTTTGACACCCAGATTGGGTGTCCGCAGTGGGGGGAACAAGAAAGGATGATTGCAAGAGTCATAATGAACAAACTGTTAATAGGAATGTTGGTGGCTTAGCCATGAGGGTTGCAAGAGAAGGATGAGTCAAAGATGACTGAGGAAGTGTTTCTTGGGTGATTAGGAAAATAATATGGAAATAAAATAGAAAAACTATACTGCTATAGTAATTTTCAACTTGGAAGATAAAACAACAAAAAACAAAACCCTTTTGGGTATCTTGAGGATGAAGGAGTATAGGGCCTCAAAGGAGATGCTAGTTTTGCCACATGGAGATGGAGCTTGATGAGAAGGGCTAGGACTGAAGAAGCAGATTTGAGCGTCATCAGACATCAGGTGTCAGTTATGGACGACCACTGGGAAGCTGGTCTGTAATTAAACCCAAAGTCCTTACCGACTGGAAGATCTTTCTGACCTCATCTACGTTTTTCCTAACTTAACTTGACTTCAGTTACACTGGACTTCTTGTATTTCACAAATACATCTGTGGGATTTCTCCAGCTGTGAGTCTGCATTTACTGTTCACTCTAGGTAGCTTAATCTTCCTGTACATAATCTGCATTGGCCTCTCATTTCATTAGAGACATCCTTTTTAATTAATCTTTCTTAAATAATATCACCTCCTTGTCACTTTACCTCAATGACCTAATTTTTCTTCATATGTTTACAAGCACCTACTGTGTTATAAATTAATTGTTTTGCTTGTTTATTGTTTGACTACTCATCCCCTGAGTAAAATATAAGCTTTATGAAAATTAGGGACTTCGTTTTGTTCACTGCCATTCAATGCCTAGGTTGCTGGCTGATAGACTGTGGTACTTAACAAATATTGTTTAATTAAGTGTAGATTTACTGGGGAGAATGGTCAGAAAATAAAAGCATAACAGAAAGGTCTGAGCCTAAGAGAGCAACTCCATTTGGAAGTAGAGGCCCTAAGAAAAACTAATGAATGGTATGAGATGGTGGTAAAACCAGGCAAGGCAGTGTCATGGAAGTCAAGGAAGAGGAGCTCAGAGGGTAGGGAGCCAAGAATATCAAATGCTGCAAGGAAATGAAAATGAGAACAAGGAAGATATACCTGATGAAAAGGAGGCTTCGGTAGAGTGGTGGAGACCACAATTTAGCTAATTGGTTAAGGCATGAGAAACAAAGGCCAGCCTTGTAGATAATTTTGAGTGATTTACCAGCAAAATGAAGGAGAAGAACTGGGGCCATTAGGCAGAGGAGGAGCAGCATTGAATACAAGCTCTGTAAAGAGTGACTTTAAGGCTGTGTGCGGTGGCTCATGCCTATAATCCCAGCACTTTGGGAAGTGGAGGCAGGTGGATTCAGAAGTTCAAGACAAGCCTGGCAAACATGGTGAAAGGCTGTGTGTGCGGTGGCTCATGCCTATAATCCCAGCACTTTGGGAAGTGGAGGCAGGTGGATTCAGAAGTTGAAGACCAGCCTGGCCAACATGGTGAAAGGCTGTCTCTGCTAAAAATACAAAAAATTACCCAGGTGTGGGTGGCGGTTGACTGTAATCCCAGCTACTTTGGAGGCTGAGGCAAGAGAATCACTTGAACCTTATAGGCAGAGGTTGCAATGAGCCGAGAATGCACCACTGCACTCCAGCCTGGGTGAGAAAACAAGACTCCATCTCAAAACAAAAAAAAAGTGACTTTGAATCTGCTTCTTGGTCTATGTATATGTTTATTATATATTTCACTATGGTATGTATGCACTGGTAAGCTACTTTGAAGATATGAGAGTAGAAATTATCTCATTGGTACAGATGGAAACTCGAGGCATTTAAGTTGTAAGTTATTCTCAGTAGGAGCTAAATAATGGGCACACATGGACATAAAGATGGAAATAGAGGCAATGGGGATTCTAGAAAGGGGAAGGGTGGGACAAGAGCCCGAAAACTACCTACTGAGTACTGTGTTTATTATTTGGGTGATGGTTCACTAGAAGCCCAAATCTCAGCTTTATACAATATACGCATGTAACAAACCTGCACTTGTACTTTCTGAATCTAAATGTTTTTGTTTTGTTTTGAGATGGAGTCTCGTTCTGTTGCCAGGCTGGAGTGCAGTGGCACAGTCTCGGCTCACTGCAGCCTCTGCCTCCCAGATTCAAATGATTCTCCTGCCTCAGCCTCCCAAGTACAACTGGGAGTACAGGCATGTGCCACCATGCCCAGATAATTTTTGTATTTTTTAGTAGAGATGAGGTTTCACCATGTTGACCAGGATGGTCTTGAGCTCTTGACCTCATGATCTGTCCACCTCAGCTTCCCAAAGTGCTGGGATTACAGGTGTGAGCCACCACACCCAGCCTAAAAATTTTTTTAAGAGCTGTATCACAATCAAATCTAATAAAACTATTCTTTAGTATTACCAAATAAAAATTCATATTCAGATTCCCCAGTTGTTGCCCAAACTGGTTTGTTTAGACCAGAATGCATTAAGGAGAACTGTGCATTGCATTTGATTCTTATAAATCTTTTAAGTCCCTTCTAGTCTAGCAGGGTATTAGACTACCCTCCTTACCCCATTTTTGGGTACATTCACTTAATATAGAAATTATGTCATTTGTCCTGCAAAAGTACTCTCTTCTGGAATTCTCTGATTATTTCTATGAGATGTCATTTAACTTTTTCCTCTACCTCTGTATTTACTGTAAAAGGCAGTTAAATCTAAAGATTCCATCAGATTAATGTTCAGAATTTTTACCAAGATTGTTTCCTTGGTGAGTCTGTGTACTTCATATTGTATTATGTCAAGAGGTACCTAATACTTGGTTGACCAACTGTTAGTAATGCTGTCATTGTGCACTGGGTGATGGTGGCGACAGTGTCATCACTTCATTATAAACTTAAGCTTCCCTCATGTGGTTGCCAGAT